GGGTGCTCTGAGGTGTAGTCACACGGGTGCTCTGAGGTGTAGTCGCGGGTGCTCTGAGGTGTAGTCGTGGGTGCTCTGAGGTGTAGTCACGGGTGTTTTGACGTGTAGTTTCACGGGTGCTCTGAGGTGTAGTCACTCAGGTGACTTAAGGGTCTGAGAGAAATGTCTTTGAAAGCTGAAACCCAGTTGCAAGGAGAGGCTTTGTTTTGTGTTCTGGTGAAACAACATTGAGCTCTCAGCTCTCGCCTGGAAAATTCAACCCCTCCTTTGCCGCAGGTGAGTACCTGGACATCCTGGCCATCTCCTGCGACAGCTTCGACGAGAATGTCAACGTCCTTATCGGCCGCGGCCAAGGGAAGAAGAGCCATGTGGACAAGCTCTGGAAGCTGAGGGCGTGGTGCCGGGACTACCGGGTGGCCTTCAAGATCAACTCCGTCATCAACCGCTTCAACGTAGACGAGGACATGAACGCACAGATCCGCTCCCTGAACCCCGTCCGCTGGAAAGTGAGTGGGGCTGGCGCTGCTGCTGGCGCTGCTGCTGGCGCTGCTGCTGGCGCTGCTGCTGCTGGGCCGCGAGTCCCGAAGGCAGGGCCTGAGGCCAGGGCCAGTGCTGTCCTGGAGTCACCAGGGCCACCAGCGTCACCGACTGCTCCTCGGGCGAGGGGCTTCTCCATGACAAAAACATGCAAGTGCCCCCCACCTCCCACACCACAGACCCCACAAACAACCCCCACACCTCCGACACCCTCCGCACATACATCTATGCACTTAACGAGCGCCTGAGGAGCCCGTGTGGCCCTGGGGGCGCCCTGTGCCCGCGAGAATACAGCCTCCGCCTCGCCCGCCCGCAGGTCTTCCAGTGCCTCCTCATCGAGGGCGAGAACGCCGGGGAGGCCGCGCTGCGGGAGGCCGAGCGCTTTGTCATCAGCGACCAGGAGTTCGAGGCCTTCCTGGAGCGCCACCGGGATGTGTCCTGCCTGGTGCCAGAGTCCAACCAGAAGGTCAGGGCCCCTGCGCTGGGTGGACTCGCATCCCGGCCTGCGCCTCCCCTGCCTGTGGGGCTGTGAGGAGCCCTGACAGACGGCCCCAGGCGAGGAGGGCGGGCGGGGGCAGCGTGGGGGCTCCAGCCCCAGGGCGCAGTCTGCAGCCCTCGTCCTCAGCGTGGGGAAACTGGGGCATCAGCTTGGGGTCCACTGCCCAGAGGGAGACACGGGCTTGCAGAGCCTGCCGGGCTCCCAGTGGGCACATGACCCCGAGAGGCGTGCTGGGGGCGCCGCGTGCGACCCCCCCCAGCCACTGGGTGACAGGGAGGCGGGCGCACGAGTAGTGGACGGACATTGAGGCGGAAACGCAGGACAGCCTGAAAGTAAATTCGCGTTTAACCTGTTTCTCGCAGATGAAGGACTCCTACCTCATTCTGGACGAATACGTGAGTACCCAAGGCGGCCCACGAGGTGTGCGCGGGCCTGACCTGTCCGCAGGTTCTCCTCAAGCCGTCCTGCCTCGGTGGTGGCCGTGGGCGTGTGGGGGCTCATGGCCCCCCGGGGCATCTCACTGCCCCCACCCCAGGCCCGGAGGCTGCTGTCACCAGCAGGCCCGTGCCGCCGTCCAGGGAGGGGTCCTTGGGCCCGGACACTGCCCCATCACCTGTAGTCCCAGCTGCAGCCCCCCCCCGGGGTCCCTGTCTGCTGTGAGAGGGTACAGTCCCCCCTAACACCTCGGTCCCTCCCTGCCTTCCAGGGGAGCGGGACAGGGTGCCCTCCTCAAACGTAGAAGTGGGTAGCCCAGGCCTCCCTGGTGGCCTAGAGCCTAAGCCTCAGGCTCACTGAGCCCATCCGCCCAGGGAGGGACCCCAGGGCTCCGCGCCCCTGCCTCCTGCTGGCCCCCAGCAGTGTGTCTGAGTGGCCCCGCCTGCTCCGCTCCCCGTCTCTGGGATCCGCTCACCCCGCACTTCCGGCCTACGCCCAGCTATACTAAGAGAAGTCACTGGCTTAAGCGCTTCCCTGCCATCCTGTGCCAGGACTTCTGACCCAGGACCGGGCAGCGCCGTCCTGCTTTCCCCTTAGTGGCTACTCAGGGCATCTTGAACGCCAGGCCGCTAGCTGTCGTTGTCCAGTGACAGCTAAACTAAAATAGGACCGCGGCCTCGAGCGCTGCCCGGAGGGCGTCTTAATGTTATGCTCGGTCGGAGCAGAGGGCAGGTAGCCCAGGCGGTGGTGATTTCGTTACAGGGCTGGGGGGGGCACCCCGACCCCCACACCTGCCTAAAAGGCTCCGTCATCCGCCGCACCTAGGCGGCGCCCTAAGATCTCCACGGCAGGAGCTCGGGCCCCGCGCCGGCCGACAGGGAGCTCGGTCCTAGAGCAGACCCAGCTGGCCGAGGTCCGAGCCCCCACCTGCAGGCCTCTGCCCTCAGGGCGCCCATTTGAGAAGGCTCCGCCAGAGCTGGCCGACGGGACTGTCTGCCGGGCGGGGCGCTGCCTCCTTCCCGGAGGCGCCGGCCAGCCCCTCCGAGGTGAGGACTCAGCGGCCCCCAGCCCGTGTCCACGCTGAGCAGACAGACAGAGCCCGGGGTGCACTTGGGGGACTCTAAGACAACCCGAGCCGAGGAACCGGGCTCACGGGCAAAGGCCCGGCCGGCGTCAGCCCTCGGGCGCCCCGGCCACCCGCAGAGGGCGCAGCC